ATCACTTTTGATGATGTCAGGAATGCAGGCAGTTAAGGGGCAGAGGCAACAGCTGCAGACTTGAATACAAGTAAGATTTTACTTTTTTTAGGGAGACAAAGGGAGGTCAAGGGGGGCTACATGGTAGTTTTAACACAAATATCCTCCTGACCCCTCCACCAACTGTAGTGATTATGGCCCCCCTAGCAACATCCGTGTCTGCTTATGATGTTAGTTTCTAAGAGGTCTAGAGGATCCTTGGGGTTTATTTATCTTCATTACAGCAAGATAAACATTTCTCAGTTGTCTTCTCCAATGGCAAAATGTGTAGAGCATGTGTAAGCACAATATAGTAATATTTCTGAACTGTTTACTTTCAGAGCATTTCACTCACCTACTCTAGTATTTTTATACCTTGAACAGTAAAAAAGGTGTTTTTTGCCATTCAAAAGTACTTGGCATATATATCAGTGAGCTAAAATTATTGTACCCTAGGGATGCCTGATGATATTTCTTGGTGTGAAAGAGGATTTGTGATTTTTTCTTTTCTTCATTTTCAATATGCTTTTTTTATTGCATTCAAAATTCATACACTTCTTAATTTAAACCACATGCATTTTTTTATATCTGCCTAGATATGAACTTCTATAATATCATTATCAAAACTTTTGGCCAACATTTTCAGTGAGCGAGCCAAAGATCTGGTAGACATACATTAATGTGGCCATGGGAGGAAGAGGGTGGAGAGACAGAACAATGTAACAAAAATGTGATATAATGATATAAAGACAATGGAGTTTAATGAAAATCATGAGGGACAGATACATCCATTCAACAGGTAATAAAAGCTTTAAATATCATGTCTGTATAATCATGCAAAGCATATGTATATTCAAACAATGGAAGTTTAACCTAAATAAGAAGAACGGGAACATTAAAGTGATGAAGTCCAAATTTACCATTGCATTAATGAGATGTGATAGTTATAACCAAGAATATTCCTACTAATAAAAAGCAATAATGGTGGTAAAGATTCTGCTGTTGATTGCAAACAAACTAAAAGAGGGGAAGAAAAGACAGGTATCTGTGACAGAATCACGGAGCCCGTATTGGTTGCAGGGTAATTTATGGTATAACCCTATATAGAGAATGATAGATAGATTGGATCAGACCTCCAAAAGAGCACACGATACTAATGATGTTACCCACAATAAGATACTTATCCAACAAGTATTAATTGTAACAAACAAAGGGATACTACATAGTAGTTAAAAAATATAAATACATACAAATAGTTGCTTTATTAGGTTCCACTTAACAAATTTAACTACTTGAGACTTAAGTGAAAAAAGTTTAGACAAATACAATATTTTAAAACTGGGTAGCTGATTGACACTTATGTGTGTTCTCTCAGTGTTACAATTGGTTACAATGTTGTAGTGCTATCACACTAACTAAAACAGAGCGCAAGAAAATACAGAGAATTGTCAAAAACTAAAATAGCACTCCGGTGGGCCTGGGCATACAATGCAAATGCAAATAAAAAAACAGAAAAAAACATACTTTCTATTTTCTCTTTCTAATTTGTAATATATGCTGACTCAAGGTACCAAGGCTAATTTATTTCAATTAAGAAAAAGGCAAAACATATATCAATTATTTACTCCACCCTATCAATAACTGAGAGAAGGCCAAGAGAGAGATGCTCATTTTTTAAGACAGAGATACATGCATTTGTCCCTCAATTTTTTTTGTTTGAACAATATATATTGTATAGAGGTAAGGGCATTTACTTTTTTATTTTAACCACAACCACAGGTCTTCACAACAACATCTTATCTTTGAGATCCCTCCCATTCCTTTTGGGCTTTTCATGCAGCCAGAAATACAATTTCATTTAACGAAAAGTAAGGAGACACATGAGAGTTTTCATTATTCCTATGATACCAATCAAAACAGAGTGTTATGACCCATATAATATTTTAATGTTAAAGGAGCTCTCCAGGGCTGCCACATGCTATGTGTCACGTGTAATTTATGTAACAATTAGTTGCACAGGATGTGTTTAATTAAATATTATTTAGCTATAATATGGACAAGATTGAGGCATGCATACAGCTATAATGTGATTTATCTTCAGCAGTCAAATTTTGGATCAACAGCATAGAAAGATGTGTTTTAAAGGTTGAACTTGCTGGACTTGAGTGTTTTTTTTAAACTTAGATTATGATCTAATCAATTAGGACTGGCATTTGTTCGTTAAGTCCAATTTTTTACGAAGATGCCAGCACAACACACAGCGTAAAGGGGTTATTGTTAGAAAATATGGTAAAATATATATGATAGGAAATGTTTGTTTTGGGTACTTTTTTAATGGAAGGTTGATAATCTTTGGTACCAGCGGCAGATCCAGGGAGAAATCACCAGGACAAATCCCCGGTGTCTTTCCAGCAACAGAGGCTGAATAAATGGTTACCTAATCACATGTCACTAGCCTTGCTGAATGTACAAATCTGTGCATTAATCTCTATGTGGTTGTATATGTCTGAATGTGGGTGTAGATATCTGTGTTTGATCATATGTATGAATCTGTAAATCTAAAGATAAAATCTAACAAAAAATCCAGCAGTGCCCATCCTGACCTTCTGGATCCACCCCTGATTGGTACTTGCCTGGAAGTATCCTTTGCTAGTAATACTCAGTAAAAAAAAAAAAAGAGAGAGAGAGAAATTGATGGCACTAGACTGTTAACTGAGAAATGTATTGGGTTTAGAGAATTATTAATACAACATGTGGAAGCTGTCCAGGGCAACATACATGCAGGAGTCATTAAAGTTCCAGGTTGAAGCTTGAAGATAAATTATTTGGTCCTGTTAATGCTAAAGTGAGAATTGCCAGGAATACAAGCAAATTCAGAGTAAATGTCAAATTGTAGACCAAATGAACCAAAAGCTTAGTAGGTCTAGAGATTTTTTTCGAGTTCAGAAATATTGGTACTAAATTAGAAATTTACTTTGAATTATCTTTTCATTACTGAGACTTCTCAGTTTTGTAAATAACCATGCTGGCATAGGTGTTGTTGGGGAGGTGTTGCTTAGTGTGTGAGTATGCGTATATTCCCGTTCTACTTCCCAACCACCTAGATTACGATTGTAATCAAAATTATTCAACCTCCCTTTCACCCCATTGAAAACTTTCAGCTGTTTGCAATGAACAAATCAAACTAAAGCAATTGAAATAGCTCAAGACAATGAATGCTTCAATAGAGATGTCGCGAACTGCTCGCCGAAACTGTTCGCGAACTGTCCGCTGGCGAACAATAGCGTGTTCGCGTTGGGCGAACATATGCGATTTCCGGTCCGCCCCCTATTCGTCATCATTGAGTACACTTTGACCCGGAACCTCACAGTCAGCAGACACATTCCAGCCAATCAGCAGCAGACCCTCCCTCCCAGGAAGTGTCTGCTGACTGTAAGGTCCCGGGTCAAAGTGTACTCAATGATGACGAATAGGGGGCGGACCGGAAATCGCATATGTTCGCCCAACGCGAACACGCTATTGTTCGCCGGCGGACAGTTCGCGAACAGTTCGCCGAGCAGTTCGCGACATCTCTATGCTTCAAGTGGTTTCTCCAAATTCAACTGAAAATGCAACTTGTAAGGACTTTTCGAGTCTAAAAATTATTTAATAAAAAGAGTTAAGGGCTGCGCTTAAAATCAATGAATACGAGTAAAGTCAACAAATAGAAATGGATAAAAGGTAACCAAAAATAACTTTTATTGATTAAAATACACTTTTTAAAACCATTTACGCGTTTCACCTATGAGGTTTTTTCAATAAGATTGGTCCTATTTAAAAGGTAACCAAAAATAATGTAGTGGGGATTAAACCACTAAGTGCCCTTTCTCCTAGAGCTGGTTCAAGCTCCAACAAATGTGAGTGCAATACCTTTTCCTTGATTTATATACCACATCTGGATCTGCAATATTTCACCATTGGCAGCTTTTTCTTTTGTCTTTTTACCTCCACATATATGGACTATTTATCACACGGACGGACCAATATCTGAGGACTAAAACCATACCACCATATACCAGTGAGATTGTTCAAACTTACACTATCTAATTCCCATATTTGGATGAACTTTGTTTATTTTATTCATATTATACCTTGATTTTATCCATTGCTATTTGCTGACTTTACTCTTATTCATTGATTTTAAGCGCAGCCCTTAACTCTTTTTATTTTCTCCTGTTTTCCAAGGGTTTTTTGAGGGATTCCCTTTTTAGGGTTGCTGCTCCTCTATCTATTAGTTAGCGCAGACTCTTCTCCCCTTTGATTTAAAAATTATTTAATCCTGTGAATAAAAGCCCTCACAACAGCACACATATGTAAAAATGGTATTGGCTCAAGCACGCCTGATGAAACTAATCAAGGGCTTCATTAGTTACACCAGGTGTGCTTAAGCTGGAACCCTTGAAATACCTGAACTGGCTAGGGGTTTGTTGAGTGTCATGTTTGACTGTATGTTAGAAATATGTTCCACAAAGTTAAGAGAATAGATCATCAGCTTTTACAAACAAGGAACAGGATACAAAAAGGCAGGCACTAAATGTTTCTAGCCCTCGGTCAGGCGCAACTGATCCAATAGGCACAGCCAATGTTTGTTGTTTTGTCCTACCAAAGCGAGCGCTCGTTACCGCCCGGCCGCCTCAGTAGCTTGATGTTTTTACATTCTGCAGTGACCTATAATGCGCAGTACGCATTTGAACGTCGTGTGTGCGAGTCGCCACACTTTGTGTCTCTTAGGCACATTGCGCCCGATTGCAGTATAACCATTATATGTCTATAATTACATTGGTTAGTAATTTTTCTAATTAATTCAAGCATATTAATGCCATACCTGATTGTTTTTCAATGTTATAATGTTCAACTCCATAATGAGGCACGATGTTCCTCTCAGGCACATTGCGCCCGATGATGCTATTTTTGTTATTTCTTTGTAGATACGGCAATAAAAAATGTACAACTCAAAGAGAATTTTCCATTTCAATAATCCGAATGATGTAGTGGATATGATGAAAATGCTAGAGGATGAATCAGATGATGAAAATATTTTTGAAGATTCAGATGAAAGCAACTATAGCGTGACTGAAGATAACATGGGAGCACGCATTAAGAGTTCTGAATCAGAACAAAACGATGAAGAATTCAGCGATGACGACAGCACAGATAACGCTTCATATTTTCTCGGAAAAGACAAGTCAAGTAAATGGTATCGAGATATTCCCTACAAGAAAAATCGCACCACGCCTCATAATTTGTTGAAGCAGTTACCAGGTGTTATGGGCCCCGCAAAGTTATCAAAATCTCCAGTTGACTGTTGGAAATACCTATTCACTGGAGATATTCTGGATATCATTGTAAAATATACTAACCAATATATAAATATTATCAAAAATAAATATGGATGCGAACGAGACGCCAAACTTACTGATGACATTGAAATAAAAGCGTTCATAGATATATTATATTTGGCTTGAGCGTATAGAGCCCTGGACTTAGTGGAAGAACTGAAAGGAATGAAACTTTCCTACGTTGGCACAGTAAAGAAAAACAAAAGAGAGCTGCCACCTGAATTTGTCACAACGAAATCTAGGGAAGTGTATTCAAGTAGCTTTGGATTCAGTCGCAGTACTACATTATTAAAACTGTTATCCTTGTGTCCAGCTTCCATCACGATAAATCTCTTCATTCAGAAACAGGCGAGAAAAAGAAACCATCGATAATTACATTTTACTATTCCAGAAAGGGAGGAGTAGACAATGTTGACAAAATGTGTGCTATATTCAGTGTTGCAAGGAATATAAAATGTTGGCCTTTGAATATATTCTTCACCATGTTGAATGTTGCTGGCATAAATTCGCAGATAATTTATCTGGGAAATGATTTGAAACTAATAAAGAGGCGTCTATTTCTGAAGCAGCTTTCTCACGAACTTACGTTAGATGAGCTTCAAAGATGAAGTAAAAAAACTATCGGCATTCCGCTGCATATTCAATCAAAACTGAAAGGATTCTGTAATTGTGAAAATGTAGAAGAAGATAAAGAGGAAACTTTGGAAACGCTTAGCAAGAGGAGAAGGTGCATTACATGCACTACGGATAGAGGACGACGTCGCTTATCAAGATATGAGTGCAGCAAGTGTAAACGTGCATTACAGTTGCAAGAAAAAGTATGTGAACCCTTTGGAATGATATGGATTTCTGCACAAATTGGTCATAAAATGTGATCTGATCATCATCTAAGTCACAACAGTAGACAATCGTAGTCTGCTTAAACTAATAACACACAAAGAATGAAATGTTGCCATGTTTTTTATTGAACATACCATGTAAACATTCACAGTGCACATTTTATGACCAATTTGTGCAGAAATCCATATCATTCCAAAGGGTTCACATACTTTTTCTTGCAACTGTATGTATGGAACATGCTACTTTTTATTGTAATAAATGCTCAGAAATTGCTTTCGCCAATGTTGTAGAGCAAATGGAATAATAAACATGTTTTTATTTGAATAAAAAGTTTGTTTTTGTAAAAGTGGCCTATTACGCACAATGCGCCCGATCCTGTTCTTACTCACATTGCGCCTGACCGAAGGCTAGAGACACAATTGAAAGCACAGTTTACAAGTCCATAGTTGAAGAAACAGTGGGTACACTACATAAATGGGGAAGTATATGAAGCTATCAATGGCTGCAACCAGATTTCTGAGAAGGTAGACTAAGTGCCTGCAAAAGACCTGCAGCAAGACTTTATGGCAACAGACACTGAGGTTCCTGTGAGCAAAGTAAGATGCATACTAAATGCAGAAGATTTCCATGCCATAACTCCATGACATACACCACTACTGACACAAAAGCACAAAAAAAGGGAAAAACGTAATGCTGTCTGAAAGGGAGATGAAGCTTGGGCATCATTGGAACTTCCAACAAGACAATAATGGACCTTCACTCCAAACCACCCACCACCACCTATATCCCACCAGTGGGGGAATCAACGCCACTGATTGCCAATTACACCTGAGCTTGTACTAACTCTCTAATAGGTGAGTAGGATTATCACCACTGTTGTTAAGATCCTCCGTTTTATTACCTGATACAGATTACACTATTGGAGTTTCTTCTCATTTGCATGTTCCAACAGAACCTGAATATCCGACTACCTCTGGATCTTCACGACGATCAGATCCATATCCCACTCAAGTTCCCCAGTCAAGTTGGACTTTTTAACTATATGTATTTTACCCAGGACTATTCTATTTCCCATTTATAACTTTTTATATGTAAGTATACATTTGATCTTACATCAAAATATTATAGTTTTTTTCTGTGGCGCGACCTTTTATTTTTTGTACTCTATTCTCTTTGATGGTCTGTGAGGAAACATCATACCCTTAGGTTGCGGCCTACCCTCAATTTATTTTATGCCTCTAACTGACCACTAAGCGCTGATTCAACAACTGTTTGTCCATTCAATTATACACACATGTTTAATTTCACAATAAAACTTCAAGATTTATTTACAAAGTCCTGTGAGAGCACCTTCCTTGATACTTATATTTCGGCATAAGTGATTTGCACCCAGGCAAGGACAAGACAGGGAGAGTGAGTGCTGGATCCACATGCATATATATATATATATATATATATATATATACATATATATATATATATATAATTTTATTTTTTTTAAATATATATTTTATGCTAAGGAAAGATTTAAAGGAAATCTGAAACGTATTATATACATAACATTTATTGTATTTGTTAATTTGTAAACATATGTATAAACCTATTAAAATGATTATCACATGCTCATTTTTATACTTCTGTTATAGTAACAATATCTAAACTTTACAACATACTTTAGGTATTTCCAAGCACTGGCATTTAATTAACATGGCTTTCTCAAGTACTGCATTAACAGAAGAGAATTATGGTTTATAAAAAATAAAATAAAATGTGTCTGTGATTCGCCTCCACCTATTTATCTCTTTCTTTTTTGACATTGGGAGTATTTATCCTGTTGTCCACATAATGTGCTGATTTTACTATACCTATCTACTGTGGATAAATTGTAACTAGGCATGGGCATGTGTTAAAAAGTGACAACAGCATGTAAGTCAATATGAAAGCAAAAAAAGTAATAAACTGGAACTATCTTTACTCACAAACCACAAGAAACTCTCAATGTACAGTATATTTAGCCTGGGTATTTCTTAAAGTGTATCTGGCACTTTCCTTTTTTTTTTGTTTTTTTCTTTCTTAAGCTTGTTGTATTTTACTGGGTGTACCCCCTCCCTTGTCACTTGCCTTTATTTATATTTAGTATATTTTCTTCCTTCTGCTGGATCTCAGTACCTGGTTTCAGCTATTTTGTTCACCTCTGCCCATAGTGTCTGCTGTTTGCCCTATTGTGAAATGGTTTTACTAAGGATTGTGGGTAATTTTGATTGGTAACTGAAACAGATCCCTGCTTTAAGCTCTTTCCATTGATAATGTTTGTCAACTTGACTGCTATACATAAGAATAAGTACTTCCTACTTTACTTTATATGTTTAATGAACACTAAAGATCTGAGGGCAAAAAAGAGATTCAGACACAAGGAGCTATATAGAAGTAGATGAAGTGTATTTCTGGTGACAAATCCGCTTTAAGTCGAATTTGCCAAACTCTGCCTTTCAAACAAAAGAAATAAAATCTTGCTGGAAAATTCCATAATTAGTATGGGGTATTATAAGAGCATTTTTTTTTTTTTTAAATTTTGAAAATTCCATTTGGAAATTGTTTTCTAAAGTGCACTTAACTTTTTAGTATGTGTCCTTAGCCTGGCTGTTGGCACATTACACTAAAGCCTATTGTTAAAATAAGCTTTTACTAAATTTAGCTAATAATGCAGTGGAAAGTATTCATCCCCTTAGAATTTCAAAACATTTTGTAGTGTTACAAGAAATAGCTAAAATGAATTTCATTTTTATTTATTTATTTTTAACATTTGTTTCATACCTATTGTATCTACCATTTGAGATGAAGGAATTAAGAAAAAAAATAATAAAAGAAAAAAATAGCTGGCTGTATAAATATTGATATTCAAAAGCTAACACATTACCGTGGGTTTTTTTTTGTGTGTGTGTGTGCTTGTTTAACTAAAACTAACACCTCTGTCACGATAAAAAGTATTAGCATATTCACAATGTCCGGTATATTGTTTAAACATCACAATTTTATATAGATTATTAATTTAATTATATATTGATGCGACACAACAAAACATGAAAAAAGTTCAAGGGTAAATACTTAAACATGTACATAGCTATACAATTTAAATTAACGCAAATCACCCTATAGGCATGGCCTCAAAGTAAGTATAACATTGCATTATTCCATCCTCAAGGCACTGTATATGCTATGCATAGCATACTAGTTGTACAACATAGTTCAGTGCTGGCAGATAGATATGTACTGTTGCAAATATAAGCCTCAATTGAATATTTTAGATAAGCTTCTGAAATGAATAAATATTTTGCAAAATATGTCAATATTTCAATATTTAGCTAATTTTTTGATATATTGATATATTATTTGATATATTGGTATTTATCGATATTTTAATATTTTGGAAAAAAATGTAGAAGCTTTATCTAAAAATATTAAATAATTCAAAAAAGATTATCTAAAAATATTAAATCAATGCCATAGTATGCTACAACGTGCTAAATTGATCTTACGATTTATATAAAATCTGTTTCATATTACAAGCCCTGGTGTATTTGTCTAATTGCATGAAATATAATTAAATACACAACTTTGTTATACATTTTGTAACTCTGATTAGAAAGTCAGGTTCAATGCACACTATAAGTCAAGCTGCCAAAAGTCCAGAAAATGTTGATCCACGTAATTTCCTAATTATCGCAACTAACTTTAACTTACGATTGGCATTCTGGAACTCTGTAAGCATATTCATTGATTGTTAAAAATTCTCCACAAATTGCTCAAATTATAAACTAATGTTTAGATATGATGCATCCTTTTTTATCGTTTATATGGAACACAGAATGATATAAATAAATACTTAATAGCTACAGTAAATTTACTCATTAGAGTCTGAAGGAATCTCATACATCATAGATATATATAATGGTCCTAAGTTTCTATCTAATGTACGAAAAACAAACATTTAGCAGAGCAGGACCTCTCCTACTACATAACAATCACAAGAATAGACTAAACAAATACATAAATAAAAATAGCTTCACATTTACTGAACCCAATCTGCCACTGAATAACTTTGTTAGTAACCCTACATTTTCAGCCCTCAAAATCAATCCACTTACTCCTCTTCTATACTTAAAGGGACACAATAAGCACCCAGACCACTTCAGCTCATTAAAGTGGTCTGGGTACAATCAGTGGTGTATCCTGGTTTTGTGCTGCCCTAGGCAGAACAAAGAAGGTGAGAGTCCATTTATTATATA